TTAGAAGTTTATGGTAGACTCTACGTTAGAGGCTGACATGTACATTTTTTTACAGCTTGGTATTGGAAATGGAACTAAAACCTGATGGTGCTGGAATCAGTAGGAGAATAAAAAGACTAAGGAGAAAAACTGCTTCTCACCCTAACTGGTTTACAACACCCTATGTGGCATGAAAGTTGTGGTGAGAACATGCAGTGAGGGGGACTGTGAGTTTCCCTCAACTTCTCAGTTCTCAAAGGCAGCAAACATGGCTGAAAAGAATGGAAAGGGGGGTGGTTTGAAGACGTTGGAATTTTTTCTTTTGTGAAGTGTTTCATATCTGTAACTTGTGATTAAGTTCTAGAAAGAAATTTGGGGAGAAACATTTGTAGAGGATGGCTGACCGGAATAGCAAGTAAAGGCAAAGATAAACATGATTAGTCCTGTAACTTCTTAACATAAGCTTATCCATTTATGAGAAAGACCTCATTAATTTAGTGTAAGAGGAACAGAGCGTCAGGCTGAAATTATGCGAAATCTGGATTACAAACTTTTAACAAGTGTTGTTTAATTATTCCAAATCCCTAAGAATATGTATTAGACAAATTAGCTGAGCAAAGACAATTTACCATGAAGATTAAAAGTTAAAAACCCTTTTTTAAACACACTTGAGGTACATGGTTTGGAATTGATCATTTCTGAAATCTTTGTTTTGGCAAGGAATGGTTGATTTGGTCTTAGATTTTTATTTTACTTAGGAGTAAGACACTGAAAATTCATAGTGCAGCCAGTTAGATCAACCATATGGATCAGACCAGAGTTGTTACAGATATTGGCTAAATACAGTTTTGAAGAATTCCTGGAGTGTCTATTTTCCAACTACAAGACCCCAGGTGTTTAATCTATAGTTAGTGTGAGTCATATTTCCCCTAATTCTTAGGAAATTGTTAGTTTACTTTATGGTTAATTATCTGAAACTGACGCTCCTATTCTTTGAGAATACTGATAAAACACTATTTAGCTTAGTTTTATAGCATGATATGAAATTCTAACTTATGTACATTAAAATACCTATCATTCATATTTATAGGAATAATAATGATGCAGCAACAAAGTATCTCTCTCTGGCCCACCAAATAAGCTCTCCCATTTCCTTCATTTGCCCTCTGGGCTTCACAAATTACAAACTTCATTTTCTTACATCCCAAAGGAAAAGAGCATCACTAGGAAGATAACATCAGAATAGCTGACCACCAGGTGCTCGTGAAAGCAAGCTGGCACCAACCAAAACCTCCAGACACTTGTGTTGGAAGGATGGACATGCTGACCCTTGCCCACTCCCCCTTCTACTCCCTTGTATCCCTGGATAAATACCCCTGATTTCTGCCCAAGAGCAGGATGGTGGTCTCTCAGACACGCGCCTGCAGCCCTCCTCCATTCGTTGACAAATTAAACTACTTTCCTTCTCCTCAAACTGTTTCCTTTTATTGGCCAAGGGAATCAAGACCAGCCAGCCTTCAGGTAATGATACCATAGTTATTGTCTATCGCCAGAGTTCCAAGTCTGAAAGCTCTTGGTCTGGTAGGTTGTAGGGTAAGGAAAAATGTCAGGCTTTTCTGCCCTCCCGCCATCAGGATAGATGATGGATCCTTGCGGTCCTGAATGCATGCCTGAGGGCGGGCACCTGGAGTAGGGTGTGGGCATAGGTGGATGGGATTCACCTGGACTGAGATTGGGCTTTTAAGGGCGGCGTCACGGGGACGCCAGCAGAAGCCAAGAACGAACAGAAGCCAAAAGAGAAGCCGAGAAAGAAGTAGCAGAAGCCGAGAGAGAAGCAGAGAAGGCCGGAGAGTCCAGATAGAGTGAGGATTTGCTGGGGGCTGCGAGAACTGCAGCCTCCCGGCCCCCCAGCACCCCTGCCTGCCGTGTTCCTGGTAATCTAAATAAAAGGCCTGCAAAAAGCCACTGAGGATTCTGATTCCTCCTTTACTCGATCTGCTGGATCAGAAAACCTGCACTGTGGTCTTCCTGACCCTACATAGGCCCAGTCATAAATAATACAACAGTGAACATTACTGAGGGCTTGCTATGTGCTACTGCTTTGTCATGCGTAGTACACTTATCGGCATCTTGGATGTTTCCAAATTTTCCAGAGTGTTGGGGTCAAATTGTCCTTGAAGATTTGAGAAAACACCACACTACAGTCTTACCTCACAAATGGATGTCACCCCCATTTTCACTCTGCAAAGATAATTGGGCGGGAGCTGAGGTCCTCCAAGTCCCATCTAGCTTGCTTATTGACTCACTGATTTCTCGATCTCCAAGCTTTCCTCCCACTCTTTCCTGTGCCGTTTAACCCCACTGTTCAAGAATCATCGCAAGACCTTCAGAGCTCAAAGCATCCCCATTCAAGGCTGTGCATGAAACAGATTTTGCAAAAGGTTTATGACTGTGAAGGGAATGATTTGAGCGAGGTTTTTAATTCCCAGTGCCTCTCCTGTTTAGAAGCATGCCACAGATGCAGAAAAATGGAATGCCACTTATCTACACCTTTGCTCAGGTGGGAAAAAGTAGCAGGTTTATATGAAGAAAAACAGATCTGACTCACTAACAGCTACTACAAATAGGAAAATACCCAGACCTCCTAACCGTATTTAATTTAATGATACTAAGTCATGAATAGTTTTGTAAACTGATGGTTCTAGTGATAAAATATACACTTAAAAGCATGCACACTCATGTTATTTTCAATAGCCCAAGACAGAGACTTTCACCATGTTCATCCAGTCCCTTGATAACCCTTCCTTCCTTCGTTGATTTGGAAGCTGAAATCCAGGTATGTTCATTAACATAAAATATAATCTGACATTCAGGAAGGAGAATGAATAGTTTAGCTTGGAATGTATACAAGACGGAAGAAAGAAAGCAAAACAAAGCAACTTGTGTATTCCAGTCCAGTGGTCACCAACCACGTGGAGCCAAAGCTGCTTGCTAGAACATTACTTGATTGCTCACAGATGAAATCCATCAAGTGATGGTTAGCTTATTGGTGGAAACTTTCCAAGGTCACTGACTATATATGCCCTTGGGGATCTTCAAACTACTGATTCAGGCACCACAGGAAGTTAAGAGGGGAGATGAACACAAGAAAGGAGAGCAGATTACGCCAGAGAATCTCAGCCTTGGCTACTTTTAAACACAGTGGTGCTCAAACCAGGGCAGGTAGGAATCCCCAGGGGAGGGGTCCAGGCAGCTGCATTTTTTTGAGTTCCCAGCTAATGCAGTGTGTGGGCAAGGTTAAGTGTTCGGATTATAATGAAAATTACAATTGACAAGACACGAACAGGTTCTCAAAGACTTTAAGAGAAATATAAGCAGTGATAACTCTTATAAATTAAGGCTATAGATATTACCAGGGATTTTACCATGATCTACACCAGCAGATCAGAGACAATTACAACAGGAATATCTGGAATTAGTCTTTTGCTGTTTATCTGTACTTTGAAGCACCCAGACATTCTTCTGTTTAGCTAATAAATGGAGGTGCTGCATCCACTTCTCCCTTTAAATCAAATTTCTTTTGATAATGGCAGATGTTTTGGAGAATTACCTGCCCTGAGGGGATTAAAATCTTTTTAAATAAGTGAATTGAAAGATATTATAAGCGTGTTGCCGAGACCTAGACACCAAAATGGATTTCAGAAATATTTAAATATTAAAAATCAAAGACTAAGACAGGTATTAGGGGGAAAGTATATTCTGCTTATTAGAATTAGCTCATAATAGGATACTATCAATTTCTTTGACCAGCTGAAAGGTTTGAAAGAAAGCTCTCTTCAACTGATTTGGCTGAAAGCTTTTTAAGTTTTCAGTGTTGAAATGTCTGAATTGTTTTTTGCCTATAGTAGAGTAGGAAAAACAAGGTGTTAATCTTTGATTTTCCTTTTCTAACAACTGTTTATTGAGGTAATGCTGATTTACAACACTGTACATGTTTTAGGGGTATAGCTTCACACCTCTACAAATGCAGTTATCACCACATGCCTACCACCAAAGACCTAGTAATCCTCTACCATGGGTCATTAATTAAGATAAACGGGTTTAGCAAGCTGTAAAACAAAACGAGATAGTTTTAATTCCATTTTAGAACTTATTTGTAGGTTATTGAAACTCTATCACTAATAGAAATTTTATTTCAGGATGCCATATTATCAGAAACAAAGACAAATTCCCCTTCCTGGACTTCTTAAGTCAAATACTTCTAGATGAGTATGCTTATCTCAATTATTAAGGTATCAAGGGCACAACCATTTCCTTCCCTGCCCCTCACCCCATGTCTTTCGAAATATCCTTTATAGCAAATTAGAGATAATTTACCCTGATCTACAGGTTAAAATATCAGCAGTACTTAATAGTATGAGGAGCAAGTTTATGTGCTTAAATCTTGCCAGGTTCAGCATAAACATTGACAATGATAAGTTGGGCTGATGAAAACCAATCAATACCATTTCCCACACTTCACTTCTGTAATGCTTCACAAGATTATAGGTGATTAACTACAGAAGAATATGTCAGCAGTAAAATTTAGTGTTATCTGTGACCCATGTTTATTGGTTATTTAATTCTCATAAGTCAAATTATTTTGACTTAATGTGTGTCTAAATTATATTACCACCACCCAAAACAGAACCAAAACACTCATTAAGATGTAAAGCTCCAATATAGGTGATAAATGAACTTTTAGATTTATCCTTTGTTATAAGTTAACTTTTCCCTACAGTTATGTTTGCGTAATTTAAAATATGGGAAAAAATAGTTCCTCCATCTTAGAGGACCAAAGCCTCTGACTTAAAAAATATTCAGATTTCAGCATAGCTTGTTTTAGATGAAATCCCAAACAATAATGTTACTGCATGGTCAGGGTCTGTGAAATATCTGGGCAAAACAAAAATTTAAAGTAGACACATCACCCCCTCCCCCACCACCACCAACACACACAAAATTAAAATTAATCAACCTACCCATCCATCCATTTGGGGAGACACATTTTTGGGGGTTCTGGGGGAGTCAGGTCTTGCAGACACTGGAGAAGGATTGACTGCAGTAAAGGAAGTCCTGTGTGTGAAAAAGAGTTCTGAGAACAAAACAATTCGAGAAGTGCTGCATATTCCATTCCTCATGGACATTCCTTCTGCCTGTTAGTCTATTAAGGTAATTGAGAACCTCCCCTGTAAAGATAAATGAACATTTCTATTTCTACAGTATTCTCCAGTACTGTTTGACCATGGACCCCTCCCCGATTCCCATTAAACTAACATTGCATGCAATTTGTTGCTTGGAACACAGTTTGGGAAATGCTGATCTTTAAATTGTAAAAGCCGATAATGGGAGAAGAGAATTTGCAGAAAGCAAAAGAGAAGGAAATGTTAGGTGAGGGCCAGAGAATGGGTTCCCAAAGGGTGCCAGTGCCCTCCACTGACCACTGTCCAGTGTCTGTGATGTGCATCTAACTGGGACTTTTGAATCATTCTCATTCTCTCAGGTTGGGAAAAGAACTGGGTTGGAAGTGAGAATTTATGGGCTCTCTTCTCCCCTTTACAATTGAGTGCCTTTGGACAATTAACTCCCAATCTAAATCTCACTTTTCTCAATTGCAAAATCAGAGTTTAAGAAATGATCTTGATTGTTCTTCCTAGGGCCAATTAGATGATTCTATCTCAACTAGTATAATGGACGAAAAAGACAAATAGGATTTGCTTGACAAGAATTCTCTTTATGACTAACTTTTTGGGAATGCAAAATGAATGATTTATGAAATAGAAATCCTATAATACAACCATATCTGGCTAGGTGATTCTTAGTCCTCATTATTCAGGTTATTTTGATTGAAGACAAAGTCATAGGATGCAAGTTTGAAAAGACTGTTTTCATACTGTACTTGCTGTCATTAAACGTGTTTTAAAGAGGAACACTCCAGAAAATTTCAGCAGCTAAATCTTTAATTAAAGCCAAAGAGCAACTTTAAAATTACTTCTTTTAATTAATTGTCCTTCAGATTATACATTCTGTGACTAAAGTATTCTTGGTTATGAAGCACAGTTTGTACTTCCAAAAACTATCAAGATGTGTTGAAACGTCGGATTTAATTGAAGTTAATCTAAAAATATGGAGAAATGCAATAGGGCAAGTTATTTTGCAAAAGTCACTGTATTTTGCATATGTTGGTATTTTCCTTTAATAGAAAATAAAATTAATAGGAGAGAGAACTTACAATTTCCAGGGAAGGTAAATCACTAAGGTGATGGATGACGCGTATCAACTGACAGTTGTCTTTCCATGATTCCCATTACCCTGTTCTATAATTAAATAATAAATAAAAGACAAAAGACAAAGTCACTGGCAAGTTGTATCATGAAATAGGTGAAACAAGAAACTGAATCAGTCCCCAAATTGGTACCAAATTACCTTGATGTATTTTCCTATTGAGTCAAATGATTTTTTTCAGGATTCATTTGGAACAGCTTCAGATATAATGCTCAGTATACATTTGGTTAGAAAAATAGAAATCAAGGTCATGAAAATGGAGACTAATTATAATATTGACTCCTCCTTACTGATACATGTGCTATTAGGTAAAGCCTCTGCCCTCTCATCATGTTGGATTTAATCGATAGCAGCGGTTCTCAACCATGACTGCACATTAGAATTGTCAGGGGAGGTTTTAAAATTTTCTGATGCTCAGGTTGAACCAAGACCAATAAAATTAGACTTTATGAGAGTGGAACTTAGGCATCAGTATTTTTCTACATGTTCCAGGAGATTCTAAAATGAAGTTAAATTTGATCATGAGTAAAGCAGTATCCAATGAATTTCCAAGGAAATTTATTATTATTTTGGTTTGAAATTGGCAGTGTGAAGCACTCTGTTTCTGTTTTTCAAGTTTCTTTAGAAATATCAACAGCGATGAAGCTAATTCTCTTAGAAAGACAAAATGGAAAAAATGGTAAAACCCTGTAGCAGATAACTCTGGAGTATCTGCTAGGTTCATGAGAATGCCTTAACTGTCTTCTGCCCTCATCTGCAATAGAAGGTTCTGCAGCATCAGATTAAATTGGGCCAATAGGAATCCCAGGTCTAGGATTCCTGAATTGGAATGGAGAGTTAATATTTCTGTGTTGTTGGCTGAGCGTTCCAGCAGGCAGGCTGAGTAGCTGAGAAAGAGAAGAGGAAGAGAAGAGATGGGCAAAAATAAAATCAGAGGTTAATGAGGCTTCTAGACTTCCAGGGTAAATATCTGTCATTTTCGCAGGCTTTGCATCCCTCCCATTTGGTAATACCACCCTCCTTTTTTAGGGATCATCTTGCTCCCATTCCATTAATTCTTGGACAAGGCAAAGCTTATCAGCCTCTTGTTCCTAGAGCAGAGACCTGAGGCAGAAAAAGTTGGCATTGTCATTTTGGTGACCTTACTGGGGGAAGCTGGTAGCCACTGCTGTAGGATTCCTGGATCTGCCCTGCTTTCTGTGCCTCCAGTAGTCTGACTGTTCAACAAACCTTCAAATTCTGGGATCAAGGGTTTCTGTTGCTTGGAATTCCAGAATCCCAAATGAATTATCTATGTCCTGGCTTGAACTCATCTGGAAGCCTTGTGGCATTGTGTTTTGGGTTTATGAAGCACTCAAGTATGTATCCTTAAGTACTTTTAGCTTATGATGTTTTTGACATTTGTAACTACAGGTCTTAATTAGTAGAGGCTTTCAATTGGATGGTCCTGAGACTGATTAAAGAAGGAAGACTTTCCAACCCTACTCCAAACTTCAAGGTCACATACAAGATAACCCAGCTATCATTCTGAAGCATGCCTTCTGAAGTCTCAGTGGTTTATTTGCATTTTCTAAGTATGAAGGTCTCAGTTGAGAAATTCATAACAAAGGTATACTTTGTGAACAGTGGGATTAAAGGCTTATCAAATACAAACATGGTTCTAAATAATGTATGATCCTTTGAACAGCAGCCCAAATCTACCCCTGAAAGAAGAGCTCTCATTTCCTCTATCAAGCAACATTAAAAGAAATTATAGTCCATCATTAAATCCAACTGTACATCAATAAGTTTTCATTTGCAGTGGTACTCTTCTTTATTAAAAATCTTTATTAAATAACAAAATATGCCAGTTAACATAATAAGTACTTCCCTGGGCTCAATATTAATATACGTGGCACACAATTCAAGACTGCTTCCTCAGATTCAAGATGCGTTAAGATTTCTTCCTAGTAATGCAGGAAGTGGAGTTCAGTGATACAGCCTCATGGACTTAAAAAAGGCTCCAGCTCAAGGGGTGTTCAAATGAGTGACTTCTTTTTAAATCTGGACCCATGAGCTAGATGTGGATTGTTATTAGAATTCAGAGATAACTGGTAAAAACAAAACAAAAAAAATGAAACAACAAAACCACAAAGCAAAGCACAGCACTGAGAAACTGAAGTGACTAACACTGTTCTGATCTATGGCAAACTCTGGGTAAACTATGATAACATGGAAGTGGTGGGGCCAGTGCCAATAAAATGTGTTCAAAAATCTGACCAGTTCATGGAGTTTCCTTTGTAAGAATCTAAGGAAAAGTAAGTACCATCTAGGAATATTCTGGTAAAGAAAGTGTGGTGAATAAAAAGAAGCAGTTGAAAAGGTATTCGTCTGACCATCATACTTTATTTTCAATACAAATAGGTAGTAAAATAAAAGGTTATCCAGATATCTTTTAAACAAGAATACATTTTCTGTGTATCAAGCCATCATTTACAGATTAACACTGCGCAAAATTTGAATTTAATAACTCTTAATTTGTTCACATAAAATTATATGAAATAAAGAAAATTACATGTACAGTATGAGAACCAACAAATGAGAACCAATTCAAAGTCCTAAAATCACATCTGTATTAATTCTTTCACATTTCCCAAAAAATCACACGCATCTACAAAATGAATGTAGGTATTCTTAACATTGAACATTATTTACAAAAATGAGTTCATCTCTCTCGTTACTTTTGATTCTGCAGGCCTGCTGACACACACACACACAAACACACACTGAGGTGCCAACTCCGCAGAGTCACAACTGCCCTTGGCTCTGCCTGGGGGTGGGGAAGGCACTCCTTGCTCTGAAAGGAGGGATTACACCAACTCATAGTATTTCCCTGTCTGGGGGTCAAAGTAACAGTTCAGACATGGGTCATACAGTAGAGTCAGCACCTCCTCGTCCTCTTCCACACTCACGTCGTCTTCACCTGTGGAAGGGGAACCACAGACAGGTTAGCTGCTGGCCGGACATTCCCAAATTGCAAAACCGGAAGGGCAACGAAGTGGGAATCACCATCTCTCCCGAGAGATTTTCTTAAAGTGGGCAGGATATTGACGCTGGAGAAGAGAAATGCTGCAGACGGGCGGAGAGCTCTACAGTACAGCGTGGTGGAGGAGAAACAGAGACTGCAAGGGCAGCTTTGCTACAAAGGATAAGAAAAATTGGAATGGAGAATTGGCAGGGAGGAGCAAAAAGGGGGAGGGCCAAAGAATTCAGGAGTTATGCTAATTCGGATTAGGGAAATTGGAGCAGGATTCAAAATTCAATGATCTTAGTTCCGGACTTCTTCACAGCCAGAGCTGTACACATGCAAAACAGGACAAATTAAATGATATCACAGAACTCAGTCCTCACCTATCGATCCAAAAAGGCTACCAAATAAACATGAATTAAAATAATAATGTTGTTTAGAAATGTGAGATACAAAAAGCATAGAACACATGAGGAAAACACAGTGTCAGCCTGTGTTTTCTTTATTAGCGGTAGTTAAGGTCTGTCATATTTGCTGGGAACATGACCTTTGGCTTGATGATTTTATCTGGTGAGAGTCATTTAGGTGATCTGGATGAAGAGAACTCTTACTGTCCAAGATACTAGTAAGGTTTGGTTGGTTTCTAACAAATAGCATGCAATGAAAAAAATGTGTTTCTAAGATCTTTCCTAAACACCTATTATATGCCCAGTGTTGTGGTAAGTACTTTGGAATTTGATGCCATCACCAGGAAATGAGAACCTTCTAGACACTTCTGAATATCCAAATAATAAGAGTTCAGAGGCTGGGAGGTAAAGACCTTCCCAAGTTGAAGGTCTAAGCAGGCCCAAGGGGAAGGGGATGATTAAGACAACACTTCTTTCTCTGTCCTAGCCCAGGCTACTGAGGACCAAAGAAAAGCAAACCTGGGCTTGGAGGGTGGGCAAAGAGCAGGGTTGGCACATCATAGAGGCTCAGTAAACAATATTTTTTGAAAGGGTGAATAAATGATTGTGCAGCAATGCTTGTGATCTTAAGTGTCACTGCTCCAAGTAAGGGATTGTGGTGGTGGTGGGACTTCTGCCAAATTCAGACCATGCTGGTACATGGGCAGCGTCAGGATGGTGACAAACTGGAGTTAAGCTCAAGGAAACAAGGCGAAGGGGTGAAGAGGGCGGGGTTTGAAACCACAGCATAGCCATTCCTCTGCCCATCCTCCTAAATATTCAAAAGCATTGAAAGTGACCCCTTCCTGCACCAGGCACTGAGTTAGGTGTTAGGGATGTGATGATATCAGAAACACACCATGTTTCTCAGGAGTGTGCATTGATGCAGGCAGACCAGGCGGTCAGCTGATGCTCTTGTAAGTTGCACGCAGTGCTGGCAGTCTTGAAAAGTGGAGCCTGACTGAGCAATGAAGCGTCTGCTATGCTTACTAAAACATCAGTGGTTTAGAAAGCACCTTCCCAAGCACTACTTGGTTTGACTCTCACAATCCTGTGATAGGTGGGAATTATCGTGCCCATTTCATGGATTCGGAAAGCGGACTGCAAAGTTAAACAGCTCACCTGAGGTCCCTAGGTGAGTCAGAAGCAGTGTAAGGGAGGAAGCTTAAACTTGCTTCTGTGTTCTTTTTGCCACACCGTGCTTGATGATTTTGTTCAAAAGGTGGTATAACATGTTCATTTGGGAGCTAGTATATTATGGAAATTTAAAGATGGAAAAGAATAAAAAATTGTAAAGGCATCCTACATTAACAGAAATTAGGTTTGGAAACAAGCATATTCCAAAAACCACTGACAAAGATGAAAAAGTCCACGTGGACAAGCAGAGGCAAAAAGTCCAATTAAGCCCAAAGGAACCAGGTTTATTCACTCCAGAGGAGAGAAAGCTTGATGGAGGTCACAGCAGCCCTGCTGGCTTTAAAGAGATAGAGGGTGGCAAATGAGAGAGAAGATTCAGTGGGGTTCCAAGAGGAAACAGTAAGACCAATGGGTAGAAGTTACATGGAGCCGGATTTGGGTTTAACACAAGGAAGAATTTTCTAAACATTAGAGCTGATCAGGAAATGGGATGTGGACTCTGGGGGTGGGGGTGGGGGCGATGAAGCAGGGGCAGTCACTCGTGCAAGCTTTTGTAGATGCACCCTGCGTAAGACAGGGGACCAAAGCCAATGATGCCTGCAGTGCCTTTGATGAGCTTCTGTGACTCTTGGCTGCAGTGGTCTATGTCCTTGAAGTATGACAGGTCTTTGCTAACGCCCTCGTTATTAGTGGTAGCTGACCTGAGGGCCCTGTACAGTTTAAGAACAGGACCTCAGAGAAGGCAGGCTGCCTTTCTTCATTTTCTACTGTCACCTTAAGAGTGATTCCCCAGGCTCTGCCTCCCCCTCTCCCTCTAGGTAGGAGAGGTTGAGAATGCTTTTCAAGTGGCTGCTACATATTGAAGATGAGTCCCTTTAGGTCACGTCTCCACATCAAGCACATCAAAGAAGAGTGTGCACTTCCTTTACTTTCAGATATTCAATCCATCATCCCTTTTTTATCTCACCTACTGCAGAGAACAGAACAAAATCAGTTTATCAATAAGTAACTATTGTGTGCCTGCTATGTGATTGAGCAGTCTAGTTGTGGATGTGACAGTCTAGTTGGAGGTCACACACACACACACACACACACACGAAACAAAAGCAGCTACTAAAGATTGTAAGGAGTTAAACTGGGAGTTGCAATTGCAGACTGGCTGAGATCTAGCACTGCTGGCCTCTAGAACCTGACAAACCTGGGAACTTAAACATGGAAAAGAGTGAAAAATTGGAGATGGATGGAAACTTTTTGGTTTATTACCTGAATAGGATTAGTCTAATTATAGGTTATTTTACCTTACTGGACCTTTGGTTTTTCATTTATAAAATAAGAATAACAATGACTATTTTATAGGATTTTGTGGAAGAATATAGTGAACATTGGGTAGCAGGCATAGTACAGTGCACACAGCAATTGTTCAATAAATAGTGGTTACTATTATCATTAAAGATGTAAGTGATAGAAAGATATAAAAAGAAGTCATAAACCATAGGCTATAATTTTCTTCTTCTTTTTTTTTTTTAGCAAATCAGAACAAGAACATTGATAAAGCTTAAAGTACAAAGGAAAGGCTTCATAGAGGTAATCAGTGTGACATTTAGCAACGCAATCAGCCAGACACAGATGTGAAACCCTGGGGAAATTCACCATTTTGAGCCTCATCTTACTCATATGTAAAGTAAGGATAGTAACTATGAGAAAATGACACTTAGCACACACACCCATAGTTATCATCATCATGGTGGAAAGCACAAGATGGCTAAGTCAGACCAGTGGGGGTTCATACCTTAGTCCTTACCCAGAAACTGAATGTTTGATTTTTCACTACCAAAATACTTAGAGTGGACTGATATGAAATACAAAGCTCCCAGCTAGTTTTACACAGGCCATTGTGATGAATTTATCTTAAAACAAACAAACAAACAAACAAACAAACCAGTTCTTTCACCATAGATCATGTTTTTCAGAAAGAAAACTAATTTCTCCATCAGGCATAATGGTAAAACTACGTCTCACTGAGGTAAATGATTATGAATAAAACAATCTCGGTGGTCTGTAATCTGATGTCTTGTTCATACTCCATCCACGCAGTGGGGGAAATTCTGTTACATGGTATACAATTGCTCAATGCAGTATGTGCCTATACTTTCCAAAAAGATAAAAATTTAAACTGGTGCTATTAAATTAGAACACTCAAAATATTGTACAACTAGTCAGGAATTTTTCAAGATGGAAATAACCATTGTAATGGACCATGGGTCTTTTTCACCTAACTGCAAAGGGATTGAGGTGGATCCAATTCATTCGTAGAGGTTTTGCTACACAATGCACACAAACTGAAGCTATAACTGCTATATAAATGCATTTGTTCCAATACATATCACTATAAACTGGAACCTCATGCATTATAAACATGGGACTAAGGCAGGCTTTGTGGGTTTTAGCACTAAAGCTTTAAATGGATGAATTTAAAAATCCTACCAACAATGACATTAGTACAAAAATTGGGTGATATTATGTATAATTTTACATTGAAATAAGTGCTTTAAACTTGCATAAAAGGTTTGTTTTCATTATAACTTAATTTTCAAAGCTTCCAACTTACATCATTTTGCCATTGTAATCCCTACGTAATGAAATTATATTATCATTAAGCAATTACCACTATGATGTCAAGCAATGGGAAATGTTTTGAAAGGTAATTATTGTGCATGGGTATAGGGTAATTTTCAATTATATTCTTGGATAGTGCAGGGTTTGTTTTTCCCCCAAATGCTAAATTGCTCTATTTAAAGACTGGCTTCAGAAACTCTAAAAGGATGAATTAACAAACAAAACCATTCTCTGTTACTAGACTAAGAGCATCTGGACAGGGGTCCAAATTACATTTTTACTCTTCTTCACACAAAAAGTCATTTCTAGTGAAATGAAATTGTCTTTCAGACAATGATTTATTTATAAAGTTTCAGCCTCATCCACTTTGAAATTTGTTAATAGTAATAACAGAAGGGGCCAGAGCAAACACAGCAATATCGGAGGCTCTCCCCGAGGTTAGATCAGCTAGTGCAAATAATCCCTCCAGTTTTCTCACTGTTTGAAAGTCAATTAATATAAATGCTTAATTATCTATATTTAATGCATTTTATCTGTAGATAATAGGAAACCTATAAGCACAAGCAAAGTCTTCAAATGTGAAAATAAATGATGACACACCAGTTATCAGATTTAAAATCTCTGAATCAAGACATTATCCCTGGTTTTCGATTTTCTGATGCTGCCATCAAGAATTTTTTTTAAGGTTAATGCATTTTCTCTTTTATAGATCTTGAGAACTGATTGACTGTATTTTTATGTGCATACTAATACACT